TTCTAAAGAACTGAAACAGTAGAGAACTACAGTTCTCTATCCAATTAGAGATTAGCTAGTTCATGTATTTAAAACCCACTACACATTTACAAAAACAAAACCAACAATGCGACATTGTACCTCAGAAAGGGGCATTATGTGATTAATCTGTTCTTTATGTTGGGAGTATGAACATTTTTCCCTACTGAGATGCCTGATTTTGACTTGTTCCCAGGGTGCTTGGAACTCTTTTCATAAGAGGGCTTAACATTGAAATTACTGCTTGTGTTAAAATCCAATTTTTCCCCTGAATGGACAAAGACAGGAATAGGGTCCAGAGCCAAAGGAATGCTTTATAATAAGCACAGGCATTTTTATGGTTGAGAAACTAAATTATAGGCTTGTTCTGACTTTTTATTCTCCTAGAACCTCACCCTTCACATTTTTGCTAGTCACTGTCACCACTGAGTGGCTTTCCCGATTCTGTTTTTGTCAATACTTCTTTTAGGGACTTACTCATTCATTATTATCTTCACTTTAAGCCATCAGAAACAGAGACGGGGTAATGCTCTGGTAAATCTCCTCTGTCCTAGATGCAGTTAGATATAACTTTTGAAAGTATTTATTATGGGTAATGTACATATTTCTTTTGTGTCTAAATTTGTTTTTAGAGTTGACTGAGCAACTCATTAGCAAAAAAAAAAATCATTAAGCATCCAATACACATACACAGAGTATATATTTTAACTTATCATGTACTAAAAATAAAAGCTTAATTATTTTGAAAGCTTCCAAATTATTCATAAATCCATATACACTATATAATTCACCCCTTTAAAATGTACAATTCAGTGTTTTAGTACATTCACAAAGCCGTGCGATCATCACCACTAATTTTAAGACATTTTTATTACAACAAAGAGAAATGTCATACCAATTAGGAGCCACTCCCGATTCCACTCTATCTAGACCCTAGCCATGACTAATTTTCTGTTCTGACTCTACAGATTTACCTATTAAAAACACTTCATAAAAATGGAATTATATAATATGTGACCTTTTGTGTTTGGTTTTTTACCTACCGCGACATTTGCAAAGTTTATCCATGTTGTAACATATGTCAGTACATTCTTTTTTACATATAAATAATTTTCCACGGTATAGAAATAAACACTTTGTTTCTACACTGATCAGCTAATGGATATTTAGGTTGTTTTGAGTTTTTCGCTATTATGAATAACGCTGTTATAAACGTTTACTTACAAGTGTTTGTGTGGACTTATGTTTTCATAGGACTATGTTTCTCTTCAGTATATACGATGGAGCAGAACTGCTGGGCTACTTGATAACTCCATGTTTAATTTATAGGGAAATACCGATTTGCTTTCCCAAGAGCCTATACCACTTTGTAAAAGTTTTTATTGAAATTCTAGTTAATGTTCAGTGTCATACTAGTTTCAGGTATACAAATATAGTGCTTTGACACCTCCATACAACACCCTATACTTATTACAAGTGCGCTCCTTAATCCTCATCACCTACTTAACCCTCCCCTACCTACCTCCCCTCTGACAACCACCAGTTAGTTCTCTGTGGTTAAGAGTCAGCTGCTTGGTTTGACTCTTTTGCTCTCTTTTTTCCTTTTGCTCATTTGTTTTGTTTCTTAAATTCCACCTGAGTGAAATCATATGGTATTTGTCTTCCTCTGAGCTATTTCACGTAGCATTATACTCTCTAGGTCCATCTATTTCATTACAAATGGCAAGATTTTATTATTTATATGGCTAAGTAATATTCCAGTGTGTGTGTGTGTGTGTGTGTGTGTGTGTGTACCCATTCATCAGTTGACGGACAGTTGGGCTGTTTCCATAAATTGGCTATTGTAGATAATGCTGCTATAAACATCAGGGTGCACGTATCCCTTTGAATTAGTAGTATTCTTGTATTTTTTGGGTAAATACCTAGTAGTGCAATCACTGGATCACAGGGTAGTTCTATTTCTAATTTTCTGAAGAACCATCATGCTCCTTTCTAGACTGGCTGCACCAGTTTGCATTCCCAAACTGTGCGAGAGGGCTCCCCTTTCTCCACATCTTCGCCAACATCTGTTGTTTCTTGTGTTGTTGGTTTTAGCCATTCCAACAAGTGTGACGTGATATCTCGTTGTAGTTTTGACTTGTATTTATATTATTAGAGTCAGCTTAGTAATATTGCAGTGAGCTATTCTCTGTCTATATTCACAAGGGATATTGGCCTGTAGCTTTCTTATAATGACTTTGGTTTTGACATCAAGGTAATATTAGTCTCATTGAACGGGCTAGGAGTATTCCCTTCTTCCATATTTTTTTGGCGGGAGGCGGGGCGGGAAGGGTTTGTGAAGAATTGGTGTTCTTTTGTAGATGGGAGAATTCACCAAAAAGCCATCGGAGCCTGGGCTTTTCTTAATAGGAAGTCTCTCAATTACTTAGTTTCTTTGCTTATTATAAATCTATTCAGGGCAGCCTGGGTGGCTCAGCAGTTTAGGGCCACCTTCAGCCAGGGCGTGATCCTGGAGACCCCGGATCGAGTCCCACATCGGGCTCCCTGCATGGAGCCTGCTTCTTCTCTGCCTGGCTCTGCCTCTCTCTCTGTGTCTCTCATGAAAAAATAAATAAATGAATGAATGAATTAAATAAATAAATCTATTCAGTTTCAATTTCTTCTTCATTCAGTTTTGGTAGTTTATGTATCTCTAGGAATTTGTCCATCTTATCTAGGTTAACTAATTTGTTGACATACAACTATTTGTAATGTTCTTTTATACTCCTTCTTTTGTAATGTGGGTTTTCTCTATTTTTGTTTTTCTTTTACTTAGATCTAGCTAAAGGTTTGTCAATTTTGTCATTCTTTCCCAAAAGAATCCACCAACGTTTGGTTTCATAATTCTATTGTTTTTCCATTCTCTCATTTATTTCCCCTCTGATCTACATTATTTACATCGTTCTGCTATCTTTGAGTTTAATTTGTCCTTTTTCCAGTTAGGGTTTGGTTATTGATTTGATATCTTTCTTCTTTTTTAATATAGGTATGTTAATAGCTATAAATTTCTAAGCATTGCTTTAGATGCGTCTCCCAAGTTTTGATATGTTTCCATTTACATTCATCTCAAAGTATTTTCTAATATTCCTGTTTATTGTTCGATTCTTTGGTTATTCCATCTCTTTGTGAACTTCTAAATTTTCCTTTTGTTATGAATGTATAATTTCATCCCACTGTGTCCAGAGAACACACTTTGTATGATTTCAATCCTTTTAAATTTATTGTGACTTGTTTTATGGCCTGCTATTTTGTCTATCCCGGTGAATGTTTCATGTGTACGTGAGAATGTGTACTCTGTTGTTATTAACTGGAGTCTTCTATAGATATCTGCTAGGTCTAGTTGATTTATAGTCTTAAGTCTTCGGTTTCAGTGCTCTTTGTCCACTGTTCTATACAATATTGAACATGAGGTACTGAAGACACCAGCTATGATTTCTAAACTGTCTATTTATCACTTCAATTCTGTCAGTTTTTGCTTTATGTACTTTGGGCTCTGTTGTTAGTTACCTACATGTTTATAATTCCGATATTTTCTTAATGGATTGACCTTTTTATGATCACATAGCATCCTCTCATAAAAGTTTTTGTCTTAAGATCTATTTCGTCTGATATTACTATAGACACTCTAGCTATTTTTTTCTTTGGTTATTGTTTGCATAGAACATACTTTATCATCCTTCTTCCTCCAACCTATTTGTATCTTGAGATCTCTAGTAAATAGCATATAGCTGGGTCATTTAAAGAAAACATTCCCGGGGTGTCTGGGTGGCTCAGTCAGTTAAGCATCTGACTCTTGACTTCAGTTCAAGTCTTGATCTACACACCCACAGTGTGGAGCCTACTTAAAAAGAAACAAACAAACAAAAAATTTCATTCTGTTAATCTCTATACTTAGAGAACTTAATCCATTTTATATCTGGAAGGAGTTATTACTGTTATTACTGCCATTTTGCCATTTGTTTTCCACATGTAGCATATCTGTTTTGTTCCTCAGTTACTCCATATCTGCCATCTTTTATGGTACATAGATATTTTTTCAGGTAACATTTTAATTTCTTTGTTGTTTCTTTTACTAGACTTTAAAGGAATTTCCTTAGTGGTTTTCCTGGGTATATTACAATCAGTCTGGTTTGGATTAATACTAATTTAATTTCAATAATATACTAAAACTTTTCTCTTACATAGCTCCATTCCCTTCCCCTTCTCTTATGCTGTTATCATCATACAAATTTAATCTTTAAAAATAATATACCCATTAACTCAGATTTATAATTATTGCTTTTGGGCAGCTGTCTTTTACTTTCGATTAAATAAAATCTTCAAAAAAATCGGAAAAAGTGCCTTTGAAAATATGAAGAACTGCAGAAGTAAAAGGTATTACTGTGGCCTTTTTTCTGATATATTTACCTCTAAGTATAATACCTTCCAAGGTTTAGTCAAAAAGAAATGAAATAAATCAATAAAATCAGTTTTCTTCCCTAAATATAAGACAGTATTGTGATACCCTTGGGACTTCTGCATAATAGAAGGCTGTATGAATACCTGTTGACCTTGAAGCATTTGTTGTGCTCTCAGCTTTAAAGCAGAAATGACACCTAAGCTATTTACTTCCCAGGACCCTGATAAAGGACCACAGGAGAAGACACATGAAGGGTCCTTGTGAAGCTCCTTACAAATCTTACTTATTAACAAAATAATTAGTATAGATAAATAAAAATAATAAAAACTCTTATTGTTTATTACCTACACATCTGAAGTTGTACCATCTTCATTTGAACTTTGCTTGGGGAAGTGTAATGAGAATAAGTAATTTATCTCAGTTAAACCTTCTGTGGGCTACCTTTTGTGAACAGAGTGTCACAATCACACTGTGAAAACATTAATGGTTACGGACATGTCACCAAAAACAACCGTGGAGGGGGAAAAAAAAAGCTGTTACTTACGCTTGGCTTTCAACTGTCCAAGGATGGAATTTTCTCCTCTACACATGGTCCTGGACACATGTAAAGGAAAGAAATAATTATGGAGGTTTCAAAGGAACCAATCCCAACTGCAATATCTGTTGAGTATAGTCCTAACCCGATTGAAAACAGAATAAGAGCTTTTATGAGAAGATGTTACACGGACTTTTAAAAAGCTAACAAAAAACAAAAAAACAAAAACACCTGAATATCACTTTCATAACATTACTGATGAGACAAGATAGCTGTTTTGAGGTAGGTAAATGGAAAAGTCATGAAATTGATGTTAGATTTCAGTAAGAGGTGCTATTTTAAAAGGATGGGCTATGAATGAACTTTCTCTCTTAGAAAATTTGGTGACAGCAAAGATAAATTTAGAATACCTCAATAGATGAGAACACTTACAGACTCACGCTACTTTCAGAGGTGTTGAAAAGGGCAAACACTTAGCAGAATAATTTCAGAATTAAACTATATAACGAGGCTGTCTCTGTAAAGTCGGCAAATGCCTTGAAAGTGAAAAACAGTCTCAAATAACTGACTCTGCTAATGATTCTGTTTCTCACAACTCCGATAACAGTCAATGAATTATAAAGACTGACAAAACCAAAAAAATTCTATGCTCCATCTGCTTGCTCTGTGAAAGTAATTAAAAATACAGTTACGCCTGGGAAATACTGATATTCTTAAAGATGATGCCAGCAAATAGAGATGTTTTTGCATAATAAAAGGTTAGAGTTTTAGTTGAACAAAAGCCAAGGATGTTATTTCATTCAGCTGGTTCAAACCCAAGGAAATAGTCATCGAAAATAATTACAATTGACAATATTCCAAAAATAATATTAGAATGGCAAACGAAGTGGATGAAATCCAATTAAACATTATGTCAGCGCCTTAAATACACGAAAAGCTTTGTTTGTCATGTTATAAATCAGATAATATTAGAAATGGGCAAATCTTCAATCAAAGCATATAGACCAAAACATAAAGTTTTCTCATACTGTAACCAGGCAAAATTACCCTGAAGAAACTAAAAAAAAAAGTCTTTACTTGAGATTTTGGCAGATGGGTATACCTCAAAAAGTCAGTAAGAAATGAGGGGATTAAAAAAAAAAGGACACCCCCACACAATGGTGCCTACGAATTGTTCCCACTAGACCCTCGCATCCTCCAAGGGGCACTCGTGGGGCGAGAGGCAGGAGGGCATCTACGCCCCTACTCACAATTTGACCAAGGGCCTGAAGCCTTATCTGCTTTACACATTGGAGGTTCTGTGTAAGCTCTCACTGGTCTCCCCCCACAAAAGAGTTTGATTAGAAAGGTGGGAAGCTACAGGTGGTTCTAAAAGACTGGGCTATTAAAAGAAAATATCCAGGTTCTAGTCTTTTCTTTGACTTAAAACAAGCATGACCCTGAGCAGGGCTCTTTCATATCTCAGGTCACAGATCTTGTTCTTGGGGGGTGGGGTTCCTACCCAGACCTGTCCACTTACCTCTTCACTGCCATTCTCTTTCCCAGAGAGAACGATAAGGGTACCTTTCCGTCATTTTCTACGCCACCTCTCTGTCTGCTTATGAGACATACCTCCCAATCCCCTTCATAATGCCCTACTGGCCAAGTCTGAATCTTCACGGGTCTTTCTGAGTAAATATGGCCATTCTGCTTTTTAGAATATTGAAAATAGGATTTAATACTTTCCTTAAAATTTTAGCAAAGATGTGGCAGAGAAAGCAGAATTAAAATTCCAGGAGATGGGAAAGGACCTTCATACTTCATTTACTGGCAAAGGCCATCATTACCAACCTTGTTGAAAACCTTGCCACCTAAAGAATCATAACCAAACACATAGAAATCATACTACTTTAAGCATTTAAATTTTTTTCTTCAAAGAATATGGAAAGCTCATAACTACATGGTGGCTTAAAGATAGTTTTTACATCAATATTACATATAAGTATACATATATACTGTATATATGTATATATATTTGAATGTTATCAACTAGTAAATAGGCCAAGATTCAAAAGTAAAATCAAGCGTTCATCTGTTCAACCTTCCTGAATAAATGTGGAGAAACATTTCCATTCCTTTCACCAGCTTACGTGCGTGACTGATAAAAAGCTGAAAAGAGACAACTTTAAAACGTTGGCACCTGTAGTTGAAGTGCATTATTGCCTGCAGAGCATTTCCTCCACCGGTTGAAATGTCTCCTTCAAATCCTGGCAGCAGTGGTATCACAACATACACCCGGTATCTCTGGCCTTCCCTACAAAAGTCAGATGCAGAGCCATTCACCAAAAAATGATAGCTAAGCCGTTCACGTGGTTTTAGAGATTGAGCCTATCCCACTTCAGGGCTTGGAAGGTGCCGTTGGATTGGAGACCGGAAGCTGTTATCCAGGCAACAGTTCATAATAACCTAAAAAATAAGCTGAACTTGGCAGCAGAGTGGGAACTCTACTCACTATCTCTCTACAGCACGATGTTTCCTAGGACAAAATCCACGGTAAGCAACCCATGCTTGGATCTCAGGGAGGTGGGGGAGGGGGCCGTAACAAAATTTTGAAAAAGATGTCATCATGAGAATTTAACGAATAACAAGGTGTATCCATTAGTATCTTGCTCAGAGCCCAGCAAACAGCAGGCATTCAGTTAAGGATGGTTGAGGCGATGAGTCCCCACAGCCTCGATCTCAGGGGCAGAAGACACACTGGTCCCAGCATACTCTCCAATGCAGAAATGATCACTGCTTAGAAAACTGGTTCTGCTACAAAATGTTATCCTGGGCCCTTCAAGAAATTTGAGTGACACATGATTTTTTAATTCCTCTGCATATACAACTCAACCTTTCTTGGCCTACCGATCCAACTGACTGAGGACAACCTTTGAAAGAAAAGCCTTCGAGGAGCCTTTGCTGCTCAATGATGTAACAAATGAAAGAAGGCGGTGGGGCTACTTACTTTGATCTTCATTCAGAAAGTAAAAAATTTGTGGAGAACTGTGTTCAGATAGGTGTCACTAGTTGCAGGCAAAGCTGTTAAAGTCCTTGCTTGTCTCCATGTATAGGAAACATGGGAAGAAGTGAAGGCTGGAAATGCCTGTGCTACCCATGGGGTCGAGAAATCTCGTCTGTATATCTGGGAGATCCATAGTCCCACAAAGATGCTGCTACTTAATACTGAATTTCTAAGGATCATTTTTCTTCCAAGCAACTACATTTTTTTTTCATGGGAATATTACTCCCCTCCGAGGGGTCAGATTGCACGACAACGTGTCAGGACGCCAAGGTCGTTCCTTTCAGGGCAGAAGTGATGGCCAGCACGACAGAGTGTGGAGCCCATGAGCCTAACTGTGGTGCTGAGGAACAAGGAAGGCATCGGAGTTCGGTCGTTGCAATGGCATGGATTAATCACTAGATGGCAAACATAGTTTGAGTTGGAAAACCGAATTTTGAAAAAACGTAAACTCTTCAAGTTCTCCGCCTGATAGGGGTAAGAGGCTCACATCCTTAAATGGTAACAAGATAGTGGGAAAGAAGAACAGAGAGAATGGCTAAGCTCTTCCCCCATCGCCAGTATTTAAAAGTCCAAGTGAGTTAAACCAGACACTTAGAAATGGACACCACCTGGCCTCAACTACCTTTCTAGAATTGCCTTCCCATAGGATCTTCCCAGACCCACAGCCCACTGCCAGACAACTGCTCTGCTAAGGAAGGTTGGCTCATCTGCCCTCTGAGTCTGGAATACCCCTTTCTGCTCGCAGAATCCTACTTCTCCTTCCAGGGCAGCTAAGAGGCACCTGCCTTGGTCAAGCCACGCTGACTCTTCCAGTCAAAGCTGGTTTGCTCCTGCCTCTGCATGCTGGTGGCAAGAAACATTCTTTCTGCCTTACACGATAGTGACACACTGATCTGCTCCCTGGGCTACACGATAAGCTCTTTTGAAACACAGGACGTATGTCCACATATCTTTCTATTTTGGGGGCAGTGCCCAACAGAGGATCTTTGCACACAGTCTGCATGCCGTACTATCTGCCTAGGGAGAAGGGGGTCAGGTGGGAAGAATGCTTATTTCTGAGAAGCTTCTGGTAGAGAAGAGAGTAAGCTGCAAAACGAGTTTTAGTTTAAATTACATTTTAGTTGAATTTTTATTGTGGTGAAGTATATATATATAACACAAAATTTGCCATTTTCACCATTTTTAAGAGTACCTGTTTGGTGGTTTTAATTCACGTGTTGGGAACCATCATGGTATCTAGCTCTAAAATATTTTTAGCACCCTCAACAGAAACTCTGTGATAGTTAAGCAGTAACTCCTGCATTGCCTCTCCCCTGCAACCCCTAGCAACCTCTCATCTACTTTGTGTCTCTCTGAATTTGCCATTCTGGAAATTTCACCTAAGTGTAATCATACAGTATTTGTCCTTCCATGTATGACTTATTCCAACTAGCTCAACATCCTCAAGATTCATCCATGTATCAGAAATTCCCCCCTTCTTGTAGCTGAATAATACTGCATTGTAGGTGTAGGGCACATTTTGTTTATCCGAATCATCTGTTGATGGGCACCTGGGCTGTTTCCACCTCTTGGCAATTGTGAATCACCTCGCCGTGGATACTGGCCATAAAGAACCTCCATCCCTGTTTTCAGTTTTCCTGGGAATTGATCCAGGGATGGCACTGCTGGGTCATATATTTATTTTATATTCAGTCTTTTGAGGACTCACCAATTAACTTATATTTTCTAATGGGTAATATATTGCTCATGGGACAAAATTCAAGAGTTAGAGGATTATATGATGACAATAAAATTCTCTTTCTCTCCTTTGTCCTCAGGCACTGTTTTCCCTCCCTGAGGGCAACTCCTATGACCTTCCATGTTCTTCCAGAAATAGACTATCAATTTCTAAGCCATTTCTTCTATGCAAATGTTGGAATACTATAAACACATTTATGAATGTTGTTTATTTATATGCCTGTATGCCTGTACATTGTCCATTTTTTAACAAGTGATATAGTATTCCACATACAGCCTTACCATAATATTTGAAGTGTTTCTCTATTGCTGGGTGTTTAAATTGCTTCTAATTTTTTACTCTTTCAAAATACCTATTTTGTTATGCATGCTGACCCACGTAAATCATTTTTTCACAATTGTGAAACGTGAAGGCCACTTAGGAGTGGTACCACTCCTTAAACCTAAACATCAAGTGTTTGTGATTCTGTTTGGAAAAGGTGGTTCCCTTTTATTGTTGTGTTCTATGAGAGCAGAAATGACCTCAAAAGAGACCTCATATGTAGGATACTGGGAAATGGCCCATAAAGATCTAATGTCCACAGATAAAATATTCTTGCAAATTTACTTTGTAAGAATCAGAATGTTCAGTTTTCTTGTTCTTGGGACTCTTTGCTTCATATCAGGGTCTCTGCCTTTTTATAATGCAGCAGTTCTTGAATTTTCTGAATGAGGACATTTTTAAACTGTGTTCAGCAAGTTAGCAGAAAGGATTTAGATTTTCACTGTTGTAGAAAAGGGGGCCCTTGAATTTCAAACCATAAAATTTTGGCTGAGTTTAATCCAATGAAGAGAAAAATTCTACACGATACTATGTCCAATCTCCCTCCTTGATCCAATCCCCAGAAGACAACAGTTCTCCACTGCCGAGGATTCTGAAACACTGCATCCTCATAAAATCGGGGTGGTGCAAATGATAGCTATTAGCTTAGGGCAAGAACCTGAGCCCCTAATGGGCAGAATTATTTATGATCTTAAAAACAAGATAAGAGCTAGTGGGTTCAAAGCCATCATGCAAGCAATGGTTTCATCCACTGCACTTCAGAACAATTTTATAAAATTGCATTCTCAGGCTCTTTGTTAAAATAAGTTTTCCTTCAAAAGTCACAAACTTATGGCAGTGCTGTGTATCATATCTAAAAATTGGAAATCCATGTTCAGTAATAGGGGATGGCTAGCTAAATAATGTTACAGCCGCTCAAAGAGTGAACATTTTGCAGCCACGATAAATGACCACTGTGATGACTTACCAGCAACAATACTTCTGGTCCTGTGTTAAAATGGCCCTAATCCAAAGTTACAATTACAAGACAATTACAGATGCAACAGGCTGATGCAGTAACTTTTCCCCTTAAATGCATTCTCTTTCCCCACCCTGTGACTACAGATAAGGAGGCAGGTGCTGCTCCTAGGTGGTATCCTCGCAAAGGAACCATGACACACGGTATCAACTTCTTAGATCTGAGGAACTAGATAGAGATCCTCTGGGTGAGCCAAGAGTATAAAGAAATAAGAGTGAGACTCGCTGCAGGGATCCTGCCCTCCTCCCCCCTTAAGCAGAATTCCAGGGAGGACAGGGCACCCCCTCACCTTTCAACAGGATAGGGGAGCCACGAGGATCTGAGTGTGAGACATAATCTCACTTCCCAGGGAACCCCAGAGAAGGTCCCCCGGCCTTCATGATGCAGCAGCAACAGAGGAGAGGCAGGTCTGATTGGAGAAGGAGGAGGCCCCCACATCACAGTAAGCAGATACCAGAATAGGCCCAAGAGGGACCAACACTGAGGGCCGGAAGCTCTTCACAAAGGTCCGGGGCCCTTGACCATCCTTACCGGGTACGGGGTGTATTGGGGAGAGGAAGGGAGGAGAGCCTGGGTTGTGCCTGAGTGACAGCATACAGAGCAGAAATAGCCAATAGCACGAAATTGCTGAATTTGGCCACATTTATCAGGAAGTGAGTAAATTAAATTTCCTTCTATTGTGTGGAAATGGGATTTGAAATCAGAATTCAGGTGAGCTATAGAAAAAGGAAATAAATCATAACTCAATGAAAATATATGTGTATTAATACGGACCAAAAAGAAATAAGGAAGAAAAAAGTGAGTTTTCAGGATGGTGAGAGTGTGAGACTTTTCATACTTTCCATTTTTGTGATCGCTGGAATGTTGCCTGTAGCTTTAAAAACCGAGCACTAACTCACCACCTAAATGGTCATGGCTTTCCTCTCCATCATCCTCCTTGCTCTTCCCTCAGGAAAACCCCTCTGCTCCTCCCCTCCACTCCCCTCTTGATCATGAAGGGCTCTCAGGAGAAGTGGGGCCGCCGAGAGTGGGGTCTCAGGATCTGTAGAAGGCCCCTGAGGAGCTCGGCATGCTTCTCCAGTGACGAGATGCTTTGTTGTTTGAGACTTGGGGATTTATAGATCATATTTCATTGCTATAGACTTCCAGAGCTGATATAAATCCTATCATTGT